CGGCTCACCGCAACCTCCGCCTCCTGGGTTCAGGCAATTCTCCTGCCCCAGCCTCCTGAGCAGCTGGGATTACAGGCACGCGCCACCATGCCCAGCTAATTTTTTGTAGCTTTAGTAGAGACGGGGTTTCACCGTGTTGACCAGGATGGTCTCGATCTCTTGACCTCGTGATCCACCCGCCTCAGCCTCCCAAAGTGCTGGGATTACAGGCTTGAGCCACCGCGCCCGGCTTACTTTTTTTTTTTTAATCAGGCCTGTACTGCTTGAGTGAACCATCCTTTAGGAACTTTCCGTTTCTTCTTTTACTCCTATGCTTACAACCTGAGTTGTAAACATTATTTCCATGAACCAGTGTATTCTGAGTTCAGAACAGCCTACTTAACAAATGGAATTTTAGAATATGACACATGTGCAGTTGGGCACTATCCTTAAACAAGCAGTGTGGCTACTATTAAATGTTTTGAAGTCAATCCCAAAAAAGAAAATGTGAACATTAAATTTCTAACCCATCTAAATCCACCTAATCTTCTCCAATTGTATTTTTTTTTTTTTTTTTTTTTAAGAATGGGTTTCACCATGCTGGTCAGGCTAGTCTTGAACTCCCGACCTCAGGTGATCTGCCCACCTTGGCCTCCAAAGTGCTTGGATTACAGGCGTGAGCCACCACGCCCGGACAATATTCTCCAATTGTAGGTATGCATTATGATTTTTATGAAGTTGTAAGCAGTGTACATACAGTTCTGGGGCCTGCTTTTCTCAGTTACTAATGCTTTCTATAAGTATTGGTGATATCTGTAGTACATATGTCACTTATTTATAGCTATATGATATTTCATCATGTCAGTAGACTACAGTTTGCTTTATAATAGAGTAGCAGCAAGCTATATCTCCATGAGCAGATCTGTCTTATCTGTACACTTTTTTCTTTTTTTTTGAGCACCAAAATGTTTTCTTTATACTAATTCTTAATCCATAATTTTGAATAACTCCATTTCTACATTTTGACTTTTCTATACAATTTCATGAGATATAGAAATTGCAGCTTTATATATATTCTTTTTTTTTTTTTTTTTTTTGAGACAGAGTCTTGCTCTGTCACACAGGCTGGAGTGCAGTGGTACGATCTCGGCTCACTAAAACTTCCGCCTGCTGTGTTTAAGTGATTTTCGTGCCTCAGCCTCCCAAGTAGCTAGGACTACAGGCGCCTGCTACCACGCCTGGCTAATTTTTTTTTTTTAATTTTTTTTTTTTTTTTTTTTTTTTTTTTTTTTTTGAGACGGAGTTTCGCTCTTGTTACCCAGGCTGGAGTGCAGTGGCGCGATCTCGGCTCACCGCAACCTCCGCCTCCCGGGTTCAGGCAATTCTACTGCCCCAGCCTCCTGAGTCGCTGGGATTACAGGCATGCGCCACCATGACCAGCTGATTTTTTGTATTTTCAGTAGAGACGGGGTTTCACCATGTTGACCAGGATGGTCTCGATCTCTTGACCTCGTGATCCACCCACCTCGGCCTCCCACAGTGCTGGGATTACAGGCTTGAGCCACTGCGCCCGGCAATTTTTGTATTTTTAGTTGAGATGGGGTTTCCCCATGTTGGCCAGGCTGGTCTTGACCTCAAGTCATCTGCCCACCTTGGCCTCCCAAAGTGCTGGTATTACAGGTGTGAACCACTGTGCCTGGCCTTAACATATTTTTTAAATTTTGTTCTTTTCCTTCACAGTTGAAGCACCATTGGCCAGTTTATGTACAATGAGTACTACTGTGGCTAATAGTTTGCTACTTTTGTTATGGTTAATGATTTCCAATTTGTCTAATTTGGTTTATGACTTTACTAGCCCTTTCGTTTTTATATTTAGCATTCATTGTACTAAAACAAGAGCACCAACCAACAAAATAATCAAACACATGCACTAATACTGCAAAAAGATTGTGACAGTGCCAAAAAACAATGGTTGATTGTCAAATAGTACCACCATATGACAACTAGAAATGTTCTTCAGTAAGTTAAGTGTTAGAGAGGTGACGTGACGCAGGAGTTTATTAAGTTGCATAAAAGTCGAATGTGTGAAAGTCAGGGGCTACCTGAATATATACCAGGGTTTTTTTTTTTTCCCCCAATAGATTTATTTAGATGATCCTTGATATATGATCATTTAATGGGTGATTCTAAGAGTGGTCCTTACAATGAACTAAGCTGCCCACTTCCCTCTCACTGAGTTCTCTATATTTTTCCTCACCTCAACCTAAATGGTGTTTGCATTTGCTAATTTCTGGGAAATTAGTTAAAGTTATGCTGAAAAATATCTTTTCTCTCCATGACATGTAAGACCTTATTTATTTTCTACAGCGTTTCTCTGTTTATAGCTGTCTGCTTGCATTCTGATTGGGAACACTGGAATCATTTTCATCATGCCAACAGTGGTGGTAATGGATGTATCCCTTTCCATGACCCGACCTGTGTCTATTGAGGGGTCCGAGGAATACCAGCGTAAGCACCTAGCAGCCCATGGTTTGACGATGCTGTTTGAACACATGGCCACAAATTACAAGCTTGAATTTACAGCACTTGTGGTTTTTTCATCACTTTGGGAGTTGATGGTCCCCTTCACGAGAGATTATAATACCCTACAGGTACAAAAAGTAGTAAATTATTATATGTACAGGACCTAAATTAATTGGGAGGAACAGCATCATAATGCACTGAACATTTAGAACTTTGGCATTATTTAATAATAAGTTTATGAGTACTTAATATGTGTAGCTAAACAACAAAGGTTCACAAACAGTAGGTCTTATGCCTACTGTTTCTTTGGTACAGCTATGAGTTAGAGCTGTGAGTTGTTCCCTTATTTCTTCTCTTGGTTTTCTGGAATTCTCTGTGGAAAAGTGAGCATCTCAGGATGTAGTGCTCCATTTCCTAAAATTTAGGGTCTTTAGGGCTCAACATTTAATTTTTTTCTACTCTCCCATAAAACTTGAGGAAAAGAAAAAAAAGCCCTATTTTGTTCTAAAGTAATTCAAAATGATATTTCCTTTCCAACAAGTAGCTTTGATAAGAATAAATTATAATTTTTAAGTCTCCATTGATAGGTATTATCTTTCAAAAGTGTTTTCTGTGTTATGTCAGAATTTGCTTTCTGGCAACATCTCTAAATCATGATATTTACAGCAGTGCCTAACACAGTGTCTTACCCATAGTCAGCAGTCAAGAAGTGTTTGTGGGCCAGGTGTGGTGGCTCATGCTTGTAATTTCAGCACTTTGGGAGGCCAAGGCAAGGGGATCACTTGAGCCCAGGAGTTTGAGTTCACCCTGGGCAACATGAGACCTCTGTCTCTATTTTTAATAAAAAGAAGGAAAAAAAAAATATGTGTTTGTGGAATTAACAGTTTAACAGTTGTATGGTAGTTTAGAAATCCAGGATAAATATGGTTTGAATTTTTTAATATAAGTAATATGATTTTGTTAAATAGTTCCTTTTATTATCTCAGATTTTTTAAGCAACTCAAAAGCTTTTTTAAAAGGCCAGGCATGGTGGGTCACACCTGTAATCCCAGCACTTTGGGAGGCTGAGGCAGGCAGATCACCTGAGGTCGGGAGTTCGAGAGCAGCCTGACCAACACGGTGAAGCCCTGTCTCTTAATAAAATAAAAAATTTAAAAAAAAAGCTTTTTTAAAAAAATTACACCAACTTAAAATTAAAAAAAAAATTTTTTTTCCTGTAAAAGGATATTAAACTTTCGGTGTATATGCTGACTTTCTTACAGATGAATAGGATTTCTGATGTGCTGCAGTTCTGAAATGTAGAGAATTGCTATATAAGCAGTAAGATGTAATGTTTTATACCAGGAGCCCTGAAGTCAGATTACATACTTACAAGTCCAGGTTCTGCCACCTTTAGTCATGGGACCTGGGAAAATTATTTAATCTTTCTATACCTTAATTCATTTAAAGATAGGATTAATAATCTGTACCATACAGTTTTATTGTGATAGCTAAATGCATAAAAATGCCTAGGATGAGGCCGGGCGTGGTGGCTCAAGCCTGTAATCCCAGCACTTTGGGAGGCTGAGGTGGGTGGATCACGAGGTCAAGAGATCGAGACCATCCTGGTCAACAAGGTGAAACCTTGTCTCTACTAAAAATACAAAAATTAGCTGGGTATGATGGTGCATGCCTGTAGTCCCAGCTACTCGGGAGGCTGAGGCCGGAGAATTGCTTGAACCCAGGAGGCAGAGGTTGCGGTGAGCCCAGATCGTGCCATTGCACTCCAGCCTGGGCAACAACAGCAAAACTCCGTCTCAAAAAAAAAAAAAAAAAAATGCCTAGGATGGTATTTAGAACACAGTTAATATTCAATAGATTTTGTTATTTTTATGATGTGTTTAAAAGTTCCTTTTAATTTTTTCCTTCAAGGTCCACTTATAAAGATGTAAATTTGGTGGACTATTCACTCTTACCTGATAAGAGGATAGAATAAATGGAATTCTTTCAACTATTGTAGTTGATAAAGTCTGTTCTAGCATTTTTCTTTAAGAAGCTGTGCTTTGGTGCTCTGAGATGCATTAGTGTCCCCTGTGTAACATTCATATTTTGAACAGTTTATGTTGTTTTCTAATAACTAATTAAAACTAAAGAATAACTAGCAATTTTATCTTTTATTCAATAAGGAAGCACTAAGTAATATGGATGATTATGACAAAACCTGCTTGGAGTCTGCATTAGTTGGCGTTTGCAATATCGTTCAGCAAGAATGGGGTGGTGCAATTCCTTGCCAGGTAAAAATCAATTCTTTTTCATTGCCCTAAGTTAACAACATTAACCATTGAGGTGCTTCAGTTTTCTTCAGGCTCTGACACAGCATACATAGTAATTTCCACAAACTACATTTTACACTATTGGTATCTTCTTAAGAGAAGGTACTAAATCAACACTAAGTTATTCAGAAAGCAGCAAAATTATGCCTTAAGGAAAGCATCCTTCTAGTAAATTGACTTATTGCAAACTAGTACGGTTATATAAAACACAAAGGGCTCACAGTGGAATTTTAGAACTATACTCCCTGGAAGGGGTCATTATAATTTTGAGTGTTAAAATTGTAAACATCAGTATAATATAGCCTGCCTTCATTATCTCTATGCAATTATTCAGCAGACTTTTGTTTTTGTTTTTGTTTTTGTTTTGTTTGTGGTTTTTGTTTTTTTTTTTGAGACAGTTTCTTACTTTGTTGTCCAGGCTAGCGTGCAGTAGAGCTGTCATGGCTCACTACAGCTTCAACTACACAGGCTCAGGTGATTTTCCCATGTCAGCCTCTTGAGTAGTAGAGAGTACAGGCAAATGCAATCACACCTGGCTAAATTTTTACATTTTTTGTAGAGATGGGGTTTTGTCATGTTGCCCTGGCTGGTCTCAAACTCCTGGGCTCAGGTGATCCACCCACCTCTTCTCCCAAAGTGCTGGGATTACAGGGGTGAGCCACTATGCCCAGCCTTATTCAGCAAACTTTTAACCATCTCATCTGAGTTATCTAAAAAGTGAGGAGTATAAAACATGAAATCTGGCTGGGCGTGGTGGCTCATGCTTGTAATCTCAGCACTGTGGGAGGCTGAGGCAGGAGGATCACAAGGTCAAAAGATCAAGACCATCTTGGCCAACATGGTGAAACCCTGTCTCTACTAAAAATACAAAAATTAGCTATGCATGATGGTGTGCACCTGTAGTTCCAGCTACTCTGGAGGCTGAGCCGGGAGAATCACTTGAACCCAGGAAGCGGAGGTTGCAAGTGAGCTGTGATCGTGCCACTGCACTCCAGCCTGGCGACAGAGTGATACTCTAGTAAAAAAAAAAACAAAAAAAAATAACAAACCATAAAATCTGTTGCTGTTAGACTCCACAGTAGGCTACGTTAGCATCAAATCAGAGCAGAATAGTAGCAGAAAAAGACAACTGGAAATTTGCTCTATATAGATACTTCTGAGAAATAGCATATTTTGAAGGACAAATGCAGAAACACTGTTAAAAGAAAAATCGTAATAGTCTACAACAGGAGTCTGCAAGCTTTTTTTATATTTTAGGCTTTGTAGGTGTCTGTGGCAACTACTCAACTCTGTTGTTACAGCATGAAAACAGCCATAGCTGTTTAGTAAATGAATGGGTAGGGCTGTGTTTAAATAAAACTTTATTTACAGAAACAGGGCCAAATTTAGCCTGTGGGCCATGTTTGCTGGACCCTGGTGTGTGACTTTTCCTTATGGAGTCAAACACAGGATTCCTCAGTTCAGTACCATCACTAGTATTTATTTTTTAATAATTAAAAAAAAAAAGATTGTAGCCAGGCATGGTGGCTTGCATCTATAACCCTACCACTTTTTGAGGCCAAGGCAGGAGGATCACTTGAGCCCAGGAGTTCAAGACCAGCCTGGACAACATAGTGAGGCCCTGTCTTAAAAAAAAAAAAAAAAAGGATTGTAGTTGCCTTGAAGACAAGTAGGAGGGAATCTGGGACGTGATGGAACTATTCTTTATCTTGTTTTGGGGGTGGTTACACAACTGAATACAGCTGTCGGAACTCAGAACTGTATACTAAAAAGGGTGAATTTACTGTGTGTAAATTGTATCTCAATAAACTCACCTTTAGAAAACAACTAAAACACTTTTTTCTTATTGTGAAAACCACCCTGTTTTATAGAATGTAGTGGATACTTGCTAAAGAAGTCAATGAATGCCTTTTGATCAATTTCTTTTCAGAAATAAAAAAGCTTTTTATAGCATCTTCCCTTTTAGGCATTATCTATTTTGGTAAATCTGTGCATATAGAATGTCTTATTTCCTAACAATATAGTGAATCAATGAAGTTTTGTTGTATCTTCTGAACTGAAAGCTAGCAAGTAGCACAGTTTCATTTGCTATTTATTCTTTGGTTTTAGAGGAGAAACTCAAATTTTAAGAACCAGACCTTGTCCATCATGCAGACATTTGACTTTTATGATTTTCTTCTTTTGAATAAAGGAAGAATCTGAATTTGAGAGGTACTATATGTAACCTGAGGGAAAGGGGCTGAGCCTGAATCCATCTCCACTAAAAATATAAAAATTAGCTGGGCGCAGTGGCGCATGCCTGTAATACCAGCTACTTAGGAGGCTGAGGCAGGAGAATCACTTGAACCCGGGAGGTGGAGGTTGTGGTGAGCTGAGATCACGCCATTGCACTCCAGCCTTGGCAACAAGAGTGAAACTCCATCTCAAAAAAAACAAAACAGAAAAAATATTGTAGTAGAGGTGGTGGTTAGTGGTTATTGGTTTTTATAATCAGTTACTATCAAACAAACTTGTTTAAATGTGAAATTTTTGGCCAGGCACTATGGCTCACCCCTGTAATCCTAGCACTTTGGGAGGCTGAGGTGGATGGATCACCTGAGGTCAGAAGTTAGAGACCAGCCTGGCCAACATAGTGAAACCCTATCTGTACTAAAAATATAAAAATTAGCCAGGCATGGTGGCCTGCACCTGTAATCCTAGCTTCTCAGGAGGCTGAGGTAGGAGAATCGCTTGACCTGGGAAGTGGAGTTTGTAGTGAGCTGAGAACACACCATTGCACTCCAGCCTAGGCAACAGAGCGAGACTCCGTCTCAGAAAAAAAAAAAAAAAAAATGGAATTTTTTAAGCCAAGGTTTTGTTTTTTAATTATTATTTTTTTGAAACAGTCTTGCTCTGTCGCCCAGGCTGGAGTGCAGTGATGTGAACTCGGCTCACTGCAACCTGTGCCTCCTGGACTCTAGCAATTCTCATGCCTCAGCCATCTGAGTAGCTGGGACTACCGTAGTGTGCCACCACGCCCTACAGAAGTGCATCACCACGCCTGGCTAATTTTTGTATTTTCCGTAGACAGGGTTTTGCCATGTTTGTCAGGCTGGTCTTGAACTCCTGGTCTCAAGTGACCCACTGGCCTCGGCTTCCCAAAGTGCTGGGATTACAGCCGTCAGCCACCACACCCAGCCTCAACCAAGGTTTTAGACAGCTGTACTATGTCCTTATTATTCAGTAAAGCCTGTTTCATTTTGACATTACATGAAATATTTCATTATCATACAGCATCTTTAAAAGCTGGTGGAGGTAAATCATTATATAGCAATTGTTGGTATCAGAAAAGGAAATTGCCTTGTAGTGAATTGACTTATCATGTCAAAAGATGGCATCCTTCTAGGAAACCTCTCTTAAGCATTCTTGGGCTTTATCAGTAAGTGACAATCTTGATATTTCACAAAGTGCCACCACTTAATACTGCCATAAGGCCTGTGCATGGTGGCTCACACCTGTAATCCCAAAACTTTGGGAGGCCAGGGTGGGTGGATCATGAGGTCAGAAGTTTGAGACCAGCCTAGCCAATATGGTGAAACCCTGTTTCTACTAAAAATACAAAAATTAGCTGGGTGTGGTGGCACGCACCTATAGTCCCAGCTGCTCAGGAGGCTGAAGCAGAATCGCTTAAACCTGATTAAAGGTGGAGGTTGCAGTGAGCTGAGATCACAACACTGTACTCCAGCCTGGGCGACAGAGTGAGACTCCATGTAAGATGAAAAAAAAAAAAAAAAGAATATTGTCACAATGGCCTTTCATTATCAAGTTACTGGACTAGGCTAGGAAGAGTGAAAATAATCCTCCCCTGGGATGCATGGGAAGTCTGTCTACCATAGGATCATTCTGAAGCAATGAAGGAAAGGAAAGTGATTTTGCAATTACTGTCCATTGTTGGTTTATTTTATTGGTTTTTCAAATTACAGGTAGATTAAGAATGCATTTTAGAGCCGGGCGCGGTGGCTCAAGCCTGTAATCCCAGCACTTTGGGAGGCTGAGGCGGGTGGATCACAAGGTCAAGAGATCGAGACCATCCTGGTCAACATGGTGAAACCCCGTCTCTACTAAAGCTACAAAAAATTAGCTGGGCATGGTGGTGTGTGCCTGTAATCCCAGCTACTCAGGAGGCTGAGGCAGGAGAATTGCTTGAACCCAGGAGGTGGAGGTTGCGGTGAGCCGAGATCGCGCCATTGCACTCCAGCCTGGGTAACAAGAGCGAAACTCCGTCTCAAAAAAAAAAAAAAAGAATGCATTTTAGGCCTGGTGCGGTGACTCACGCTTGTAATCCCAGCACTTTGGGAGGCCAAGGCGGGTGGATCACAAGGTCAGGAGTTCAAGACCAGCCTGACCAACATGGTGAAACCCTGTCTCTACTAAAAATACAAAAATTAGCCAGGAATGGTGGCATGCACCTGTAATCCCAGCTACTTGGGAGGCAGAGGCAGGAGAATCACTTGAACCCGGGAGGCAGAGGTTGTAGTGAGCCAAGATCGCAGCATTGCACTCCAGCCTGGGCGACAGAGTGGGATTCCCTCTGAAAAAAAAAAAAGAATGCATTTAAATTTAAATATCTTTTATATTTCTGGTTAAACAGCTTTTATAAATACATATTTTAAGCAGGTGTCATTTTAGTTGACCAGGCATAGAGTTTATCATCTTTGAAAATAAAGTGGCAAAGTTCAGACTACTGTGCTGGTACTTCTTAGGCACACATGTGAAATGAATTCTCGTTCCATTTTTGACATTGGTATGTTAGGTACCAACTCCTTATCTAAGAGATGGGGTTCTAATTTTTTGTTTTTGTTTTTGTTTTTATGAGATGGAGTCTCACTCTGTCACCCAGGCTGAAGTGTAGTGGCACTATTTTGGTTCTCTGCAACCTCCGTCTCCTGGGTTCAAGCAGTTCTCCTGCCTCAGTCTCCCGAGTAGCTGGGATTACAGGCATGTGCCAGCACATCCAGCTAATTATTTATTTATTTTTTTGTAAAGACAGGGTTTCACAATATTGGCCGGCTGGTCTCAAACTCCTTACCTTGTGCTCTGCCTGCCTCGGCCTCCCAAAGTGCTGGGATTACAGGCATGAGCCACCGTGTCCAGCCTGGGGTTCTAGTTTTAATACAATTAAGTAAGAATTGGTTGTGAATGTTTTTGTCCTTTTTTAAGTGTTCAGAGGCAAGCTTTTAAAAAATATTGTACTAGATGAAATAGAGTAAAATGCATTGATCTTAAGTACACAGTTCACTGAGTTTTGACAAATGTATACACCTATATAACCACTACTACAATTAAGATATAGTGTTATTTACTCTGTAATGTAGAGTGGGGTTCTAGCACCCCACAGAATTTTCTCATGCCCTTTTTTGGGATTTTTTTTGGGGGGTTTGGGGGCTTATTTTGTTTTTTGAAACAGAGTCTCACTCTGTCACCCAGGCTGGAGTGCAGCGACACGCTCACTGCAGCCTTGACCTCCCAGGCTCAAGTGATCCTCCCACCTCAGCCTCCCAAATAGCTGGGCCTGCAGGCATGCACCACCATGCCCAGTTGATTTTTGTATTTTTTGTAGAGACAGGGTTTCACCATGTTGCCTAGGCTAGCCTTGAACTCCTGGCCTCAAGTGATCTCTTTGCCTTGGCCTCCCATAGTGCTAGGATTACACGCATGAGCCACCACATCAGGCCTGTTGTTTTGTTTTGTTTTGTAAAAAAAAGACAGAATCTCTGTTGCCTAGACTGGAGTGCAGTGATGTGACCATAGCTCACTGCAGCCTTGACCTCCCAGGCTCAAGTGATCCTCCCACCTCAGCCCCCCAACTTTCTGGGACCACAAGTGCATGCCGCCACTCTTAACTAATTTTTTTTTTTAACTTTTTGTAGAGATGGGGTCTCCTTATATTGCCTGGACTGGTCTCGAACTTCTGGACTCAAGCAATCCTCCTGCCTTGGCCTCCCAAAGCACTGGGATTACAGGCTTGAGCCACCGTACCCCACCCTGGTGCCCCTTTCTAGCAGTGAAAACATTGCTAAATGGGACTGCTTTAAATAGGTAATTTAATGTACAACCTCCTCTCTCTCTTTTTACAAACAGGTTGTCCTGGTAACAGATGGCTGTCTTGGCATTGGTAGAGGGTCATTACGACATTCCCTAGCTACTCAAAATCAACGAAGTGAGAGCAACAGGTTTCCACTACCTTTTCCTTTCCCATCTAAGTTATATATCATGTGCATGGCAAATTTGGAGGAGGTAATAACTTACTAAGTTCTTTTTAGTTTGATTAGGCATATTTTACAACTTAGTTTATTTTTTAGTATCTACCACTAGTGCTATATTGTATATACTGTAGCATTGAATTCCACTGGTTTCATCTGAGGCTGGTCACTTTATTTGAAAAGATTCTGGCTCTAAAATGTTCTTCGAAATTTCAGAGTGTTGCCCCATCTAGGGAACATAGCTGGAGTTGTTATCCATCCTCCTGATGGGGGCACAAAGGGTCAAGGTGTTCTTTTTGGTGTTAGTCATTTCCCTTCTTTAAGAATTCTCATGTCTATTCCACCAGAAATGTTTACAGGAGTGTGCTTTGACTTTGGCAGAAGAATAAAGTAACATTATTCTGGCATATGTTTTATTAAACACTTTACTTCTTGGTTTTCCCATTCATTTGGCAATGTGATTTAACCTTTCTTCCCCTCAGTTTTTCTCTCTGTAAAATTTAGATAATGATAGTTCTTGCCAAAAGATGTTAGAAACACTTTGGAGGGAAGATGCTGTGTAAATACTAACTGTGGTCGCCACTGAGAGTCTTTGCAAAACTACTTCTGAATGGCATAGCTCTACATGTCATTTTGTGCAACATTCCTCTTTGGTAACCTTGAGTCAAAATTGTTGTAGTTATTTTCCTCTCACATTGGCTGTTAAAAAAATCATCTCAGTTATTTATTGCCTATGTTATAGTAATGGCCTTGACCTTGGTGTGCTGATGATAATCAGGCATTTTGTTACACTTTAAAGGGTCATCTGTTTTGCTTTATAGCTCCAGAGCACCGATTCCTTGGAATACCTTGAACGTCTCATAGATTTAAACAATGGTGAAGGGCAGATTTTTACTATTGATGGTCCCCTGTGCTTGAAGAATGTACAGTCTATGTTTGGGTGAGTATATGCTTAGAGCTCTTTTGCCTTCTTTACAATCCAGTATTATAATTTGACATCCAGAAAGACTATCTGTTTTACTGTTCCTAATTGTGTCATTTCATTTTCCCCGAGTTGTACATTTTTCAGATAAAATGATTGGTAGTAATGGGTTGTTTTTTTTTTTTTTTTTTTGAGACAGAGTCTTGTTCCATCTCCAGGTGCCAGGCTGGAGTGCAGTGGCATGATCTCTGCTCACTGCAACCTCCGCCTCCCAGGTTCAAGCAACTCTCTTGCCTCAGCCGCCCGAGTAGCTGGGACTACAGGCGTGCGCCACCACGCCCAGCTAATTTTTGTATTTTCAGTAGAGACAGGGTTTCACCATGTTGGCCAGGATGGTCTCAATCTGTTGACCTCATGACCCGCCCGCCTCGGCCTCCAAAAGTGCTAGGATTGCAGGTGTGAGTGACTGCGCCTGGCCAGTAATGGTTTTTTAAAGTAAATCTATACTGCCTGTAGATACTGACCTCCTTATAATGGCTCAGCAATTTCAAATGTTAGTTAACTTGCTCTTGGGCTTTTCAGAATTGCAATTTCCTCACTCAAAATGTCAGATTTTGTTCTGTTTTACAGATGGTCAGATCTTAATTTTGGAACCAACTTGAAAAGAAAACAACCCTTGTGTCTTGAAATATGAATTTTATATGTATCGTATTACTCTTCCTGTAACTTAATTATCACATTCTAGAAAACTGATAGATCTGGCATATACACCTTTTCATGCTGTTCTCAAGTGTGGCCACCTAACTGCTGATGTACAAGTCTTCCCCAGGCCAGAACCTTTTGTTGTAGATGAAGAAATTGATCCTATTCCTAAAGTCATTAACACAGGTAACTTTTTAAAAAACTTCTCAGTTTCCCTGTTATCCTCACCTTTTCTGACTTGTCACTTTTACCCTCTTCTCGGTCTAGAAAGGTTGAAAATAAATATATATTGTGATACAGGTTGAGTATTCCTTATCCAAAATGCTTGGGACCAGAAGTGTTTCAGATTTCAGATTTTTTCAGGTTTTGGGATATTTGCATTTTACTTAGTGATTCAACATCTCTAATCTGAAAATCCAAAGTGCTCCAGTGAACATTTCCTTTGAGCTTCATGTCAGCTTCATGCGTGTATAATAGTTGCGGATTGTGGAGCACTCTGGATTTCAGATTTTCAGATAGGGGATACCCAACCTGTACTAGGGTGCTGTTGTCATCAGCACTTTGGATTTGAAGATTCATTTTCTAAGGGGTGGCAGAATATTGGTCTTTTATGGTAAGGTCATCAGTTGATCTCCAATCCTAGTTAATTATAACCACAAATTATTAGAGTTGGAAATCATAGCCGTATTCACTAACATTGAAATCTTTGAGATGATTCTTAATAGAGATACTGAGATTAATTAGTATTATAATTAAGTCATATAAGAAGGGCTAGCTTCTGTACTTTGCAGCATGACTCTTGCTGTGTGACCCTGGGAAGTCTTCCTTCAGTTACTATTGGGTAGTTAGGGAGAATCAACCAGATGGTCTTGGAGTTCTTGGATCTGATATAGTGTACTCTTCTAGCCCTGCTGCTTATATTATGACTTAATAAAAGTGATGTATCACAGCTTTTGCTTGGTTCATGTTGCTAGTACTGTGCTTAATTGAGATTGGCAAAGTGAAGAGTCAAAAATAGCAAGGAGCAGTGAGGAGGAGACTTGCCTCCTCTTGGTGAGTGGAATCCTTGAGTGTTAGGTGCGTGTTAAGCCTCTTAGGGATGGATATTATCAGTGTTTCAGTCACCACTGCAGCCTTGATGTCGAGCACAGTACCTGACACTTAGTAGGGGCCCAATAGGTAATTGTTCAGTCAATAAATGATTACAATTAAATGTGCAGTAAATGCACATTGTTTTGGGTATATGGATTTTTAAGGGGTTTTGGAGTTAGGGGCTGTGAACAGTCACTTTTACTTTTTGTGCCTTTAGCTTCTGGCTATCTGGAAGCAAGGCATCCATCTCTTCTACTGTGACTAGACAACAGTATATTAAGCTGTACCAAAAGTCTTGTTGCCTTCATAACAGTTAGATTCCACTTCCTTTTCATCCTTTTTTTGATAAGTAAATTTGAATAGGTCTTTTCTTTCCCATATAAACTCTTAGTGGAAGATCTTTCTTACAGATAAACTACCTTAAAATATGTAGACCTTTCTCTATTCAAATGAAAAATATCTAGTTGCTTATACTAATGCATTTACTATTCAGCTAAGGGAAGTAAGGACAGCAAATCTCCAGAAAAACACACTTCCTAATGTATTAGAAATATAAGGTACTCACCATGATTCTGATTTTTAAAAATTCTTTTGAAAATATGGGTATTGCCGGGCGCGGTGGCTCAAGCTTGTAATCCCAGCACTTTGGGAGGCCGAGGCGGGTGGATCATGAGGTCAAGAGATCGAGACCATCCTGGTCAACATGGTGAAACCCCGTCTCTACTAAAAATACAAAAAATTAGCTGGGCATGGTGGTGTGTGCCTGTAATCCCAGCTACTCAGGAGGCTGAGGCAGGAGAATTGCCTGAACCCAGGAGGCGGAGGTTGCAGTGAGCCGAGATCGTGCCATTGCACTCCAGCCTGGGTAACATGAGTGAAACTCCGTCTCAAAAAAAAAAAGAAAAAAAGAAAAAAAGAAAATATGGGTATTAACCTAGAATAAAGACTGAAAAGCACATCAGTAAAATATTAAGATGTTTCCTTTGATTATGAGTGAGTGACTTTTTCTTTATAATTTTTATTTATAAGTCTATATTTTTTGTCTATATTATTTGTATTATCAAAATTTTTATGTTCTTTTGGTTACAACATTTATTTTTATTTATTTTAGGTTTTCAACAAATACTTTTGGTCTTTAATACAGCTTCTGTAAAGCAGAGAAGTCATTGTCATATTTAGACGGCTTACCCTAGTTTTGTAAAGAATACAGTTTTTTCTCAGAGAGATGTTAATACAAGAGCTTTATTCTTCAAAGGCTGATTATAGTTGCTGTGGAAGTGTTTGACTCTGATGCCCCCTAGTGACCTGAACATCCCTGACTATACAGAGGGATTTGACCTTTCAGATTTTTGCCTTGGCTGGGATCCCAGCCTTATAAAAATAAAGTTTAGTTGATTTTGTCATATAACTTAAATTCATTAAATAAATGACAGTTATCATTATTTCCTGATCAACTTAAAATGCAAATTATTAGATGACTCCATAGACAAATCTAATAACTTTCCCAGTCATATTTGAAACCCCAACCTAAACAGTACATTTGTGAAATTTAGTACAGAAAATAATGTACTTTTCCATAGAATGAAAAATCAGAATCGTGGTGAGTACCTTATATTTCTAATACATTAATTCTATGTTGATTTCTTCCTTTCAGATTTGGAAATAGTGGGATTTATTGATATAGCTGATATTTCAAGTCCCCCAGTTCTGTCCAGACATCTGGTCTTACCGATAGCACTTAACAAAGGTGAGTTCTCTTCCTATTCCAGTGACACATAGGAAGCATCTTATTAACTAAAATTATTCTTAAATCTTAGATAGTAGGATAGCCCATTTTGCAGAATTTAGGGGAAAGGAATAGTTGCAGATTTGGATGTTAGAAAATGGAATGTTGGCTAATATATCAGAAAAGTAATTCTACTGCGGCCGGGCACGGTGGCTCACGCGTGTAATCCCATCACTTTGGGAGGCCCAGGTGGGCAGATCACTTGAGGTCAGGAGATCGAGACCACCCTGGCCAACATGGTGAAACCCCATCTCTACTAAAAATACAAAAGTTAACCAGGTGTGGTGGTGCACATCTGTAGTCCCAGCTACCCGGGAGGCTGAAGCAGGAGAATTGCTTGAACTCTAGAGGCAGAGGTTGCAGTGAGCTGAGATCGCGCCACTGCACTCCAGCCTGGCTATAGAGCGAGACTCCATCTCAAAAGAGAAAAAAATGTAATTCTGCTTTACATAGTAGAAAACATTTTGACACATATCTACTGTGTGTTGGTTTGTGAATTTACAGTGGAGGTCTTCTTTAGAGATGAAAATGCTTAGTCCCTCATCCAGGGCTCTGCCTTTCCTAGTAGAACATGACAAGAAAGCCTAAGTAATTATCAGAAGGTTACTTGATAAATGTGCAAGTTAAATACAGCTTTATACAGGGGAGAAGTACATCTGTTCTTTGTTCTACTAGTGCCCATCACATAGTAGATACTCAGTAAATATTGTTGAATGAAAGAGTGAATCCAAGTGCTTGTGAATCCTCATTACTACAGCATATATCTCCAGGAACTATAAAGCCAACTTCCCAAATTCAGCATCTCTCTGGAGAATACTGGTCTGTAGCTCTTTAAAATTCTCTTTTTCAAGGGAGGCACTGTGTTGTGGTGGGTGTAGGGCAGGAGCTCTTGTCCCTGATTGGCTACAGGTTCAAATCCCAGTTCTGCTACCCAGTCCAGATTACCTTTTTCTCTGTTTTAGGCTGACCATCCACTTTATATTTGTCAACTTCCCTGAGAATTGTATGTAGTCAGTCAGGTTTTCACATACTAAGTAATGACCACATTCCATTTATCCCCAGGTTATCTCAGTTGGAGTATTGGCTGTTGCATAACCACTCAATCACACGTTCACAGACAGAATCTTGGTATATACCCACGGATGGCTTTATAATCACTGTGTTGATAATTTATTATTCTCAGAGAACAGCCAGATTTCCCTTATTTTTAAGGCCCTGGGGAATTCTGCATGCGGTATAGTTGCCAAGAAAGAAATTGAGCAGGCCAGGCATGGTGGCGTACACCTGTAATCCCAGTACTTTGGGATGCCAGGGCGGATGGATCACTAGGTCAGGAGTTCAAGACCAGTCTGGCCAAGATGGCAAAACCCCGTCTCTAATAAAAATACAAAAATTAGTTGGGCATGGCGGCAGGTACCTATAATCGCAGCTACTCAGGAGGCTGAGGCAGAGATAGCTTGAACTCGGGAGGCAGAGGTTGCAGTGAGCTGAGATTGCACCACTGCACTCCCGCCTGGGCAACAGAGCAAGATTCTGTCTCAAAAAAAGAAAAAAGGAAAGAAAGAAATTGAACAAAATAAAGCATTTATATAGGGGAATATTGAAAAGAAAAATATGGGAAGGCAGAATAGGGCCATGTTATAAGGGCTGTTGAAATGTCTAGCTAAACTGGACAAATTCTTCCTGTTGAATTAGAAAGTCTTTGAACAAAACAGAGCAGACAGATATTTTCAGAGAGAAGTTAATTTTAGGAAGATTCATCTGTCAGCAGAGTGTGAGAGAATCTGGAGAATCCAGTCAAGAAGCTTATAGAGTAATCATTGTTTACCTTTGGGGACTCATGCCTGTGCTGCCCTAAGGCTGTTGGTTACGAATGCCTTTGACATCTCTGTATCTAATTCTGTTGAAATGCGTGCCTGAAATTTGCAGTTAGCATCTAACTTAACATCCTAGTGGAACTGCGGAAAATGGATTTTTGTGTATGTAGCAGCTTTACTGAGATAAAATTCACATACTATATACTTCACCCATTTAAAGTGGTTTTTAGTATATTTGCAGAGTTGTATAACCATCACCACAATCCATTTGAGAACTTTTTTATAACCCCAAAAAGAAACCCTGTACCCTTTAACTATCAACTCCCAGACCTCTCCCCCATTTCCCCTACCTCAAATAACTACTAATATCCTTTCTCTATATGTAGATTTGCCTACTCTGGATATTTTATATAAATAGAATTCACATAATGTGTGGAAACAGACTTTTATGTAGACACTGGAAAACTGGAATGAGTTTTCTGGGTCATCATATTGTTATAATATTCCCGTAGAACTCTATACACTATCCCTTCAAGGCTAGAAACATCCAAGAGTATAAATTGGGGTTTGGGGTTTTTAGCTAATTTCAGTCTAACCTGTTTTCTCTTTTTTTCACAGAAGGTGATGAGGTGGGTACTGGCATCACTGATGACAATGAAGATGAAAATTCAGCCAATCAGATTGCCGGCAAAATACCCAACTTCTGTGTCCTGCTCCATGGTAGCCTGAAAGTAGAAGGAATGGTAGCGATTGTTCAATTAGGGTAGGAAACTTTGTCTACATTTGGTTGAATGAAAGGGAAAATCATTTTACAAAGTGAAGTATTTTGGAGACGTCTCTGAAAGAAATAGAAAGGTCCTTATCACCGTTTTCCTTTTCCTGACTCATTCTTCCTACCTGCTATTACATTCTTTTTTTCTTTCGAGACAAGGTCTTGCTCCGTCCCCCAGGCTGGGGTACAGTGGCATGATCATGGCTCACTGCAGCTTCAACCTCCCAGGCTCAAGCAATCCTCCCATCTCAGGCTTCCAAGTAGCCGGCACCCAGGTGTGCATCACATGCCTGGCTAATTTTTTTTTTTTTAATTTATAGAAGTGGGGTCTCACTGTGTTGCCCAGGCTGGTCTTGAACTCCTGGGCTCAAGGATCCTTCTACCTTGGCCTCCAGAAATGCTAGGATTATGGGCGTTGAGCCACAGTGCCCAGCTGCTATTACCTTCTAATCTATTTTTTAATTCATCCCCTAGAATAAGTATGGAGTGAGCCTTTTATTATGTTACCTTGATATCCTTTCTCAATTTTCCTCTTTTAAAATCCTATCTAGGATACCTGGGTTATAGCAATGCTACGAACTTGCTTTAGAATCGTAGGCAGGACTCATAGGCTCCTCATCTGTAAAATGAGGGGACAGAACTAAATGGGAAAAAAAAAGATGCTGATAACATTGAGCATTTTATTATGTGCCAGGCACTCCTCTAGGTACTTTACATATGTTAGCGCGTTTAATCCCTCATCACAACACTGTATGGGAGGTACCAGCATTATCCCTGTTTTATAGATGAGGAGACTGAGGCTTAGAGAGGTCATGGAACTTCCTGAAGGTCACACAGCTCGTAATGAAAGAGCCATGGTTCTTACCCATGCATTCTGACTCCAGAGCCTACTCATAATTATTCTGCTGTGTTCCTTCCCTGTGAGGAAATCCTGCATAGCTTTTACGTTTTCTGAAGTCACAAAATCTGCAAAACCATCTATACCTTTCTGTAACACCTATTGTTAGAAAAGAGGAGGTCACTGATTATCTTCTGGCTGCCACCTGGGGTTGACTGGTATAGATCAAGAGGTTAGGGTTAATCAGAGGAAGCATGGCTCCATTTCTGCTACAGTTAAAATTAGCTGGTCCAAAAAGGAATGCAGTTCTTATTAGGTATTAGTCTGCTATAGTTCGTGGCACCCAAACTACTTGTACTGGTCTGAATATGAGAATCATCTGGGACCCTTTGAGAAGCTGGGACAGGGTCTCTCTTATAGCACAGGGTGATAGCCTTGTGCCTGTGGTAGAAGGGCTTCTCTTGGTGCTGTGTGAGTGACACAGTGAGGGAGCTGACAGGACCTATAGGTCACAGCCTTTACCCCTCCTCATCACCTCTCCAGCTGCTTGCTGCCCTTTGTGGTTTACTTTTTCTCTTTCTAGGCTGCTTTTGATTTCCATATCCACATAATTTTACCTGAATAATGTCCCAGAAAAATGGAAATATTAGAGGACAGTGGTATGCATTTTCAGGTTTAGGATTTGGCTTTGGTAAAAATAATGTGCCTGATTTCAACGCTGAAGCCTGTGTCTCTCAAGAGAAAAATACAGGCTAGACTTATTTAACTTAACTGTCTCAGACTTGATGTTCTTCTGATCTTCCATCTTCTCTCCATCTAGTCCTGAATGGCATGGAATGCTCTACTCCCAAGCTGACAGCAAGAAGAAATCAAACCTCATGATGTCTCTCTTTGAGCCTGGCCCAGAACCTCTCCCATGGCTAGGGAAAATGGCACAGTTGGGTCCTATTTCAGGTATAATCCAGATCAGATTTTACTTACCTTGACTTTGTTTTCATTCTGCTGTTCTCGATGTCTCTGACTGTGCAGTCAGGGAACTGACTGATCTCCCCTACCGGTACGCCCTGGTCTCGGATGGTGCTGAATAAGTACACGAAAAACTTGAAGAGAGTTTGATGTTGGAACTCCTAAATTTTACAGCTCAGGAGAAATCAACATTTAGATTGCTTTAAGTAAATACAAACTCTTTTAATGGCTTAGACTGAAAAACTTATCTCCATAATATTTTTTCTTGGTGTACTATATTCAACTCAAATAATTTTCTGTCATTCCTAGATAATGTAATCCTTCCTTCTTCTTGAAACCGTTTTTCTGTAGCTTTCCTGACACTGCTTCTGGTACCTATTTGAGTTTATCTTTGGCAGACTTTTCTTTCTCCTTCATTTTGTCTTTTCTTCCTCTTGCCTCATGGTTTCCAACACATTGTTCTTTGCCTTCTTCTCTTTGGTTATTCTTCTCCCTTGTTGATTTCATCAGCTGCAATAGCTTCACACTTCCCAAATCTGTAACTCTAGTCTCACCTGAGCTCTCCCTGAAATTTGCATATCATATTTTCAGCTCCTAGTTGGATCTCTCCACCTGGATATTCTGCCACAGCCTCAAGCTCAGCTGTTTGTTACAGACCTATTTTCCCCCACCCCTTTCTCCTCAAACCATTTCTTCTTCTGATTTTCCTCCTCCTTTTGATGAAGGCATTTGTGCCAGTAGCTGCTGAGCTTCCAACGGTAGAGTCACCTTTGACTCATTTGGGCCCATTTCAGTTTCAGGAGCATCTGTCAAGCAACCTGTTCTGTGCCAGGCCTAAGGGATAAAGGAGCTAGCCAGAGTTGCTCAAAGTCTAGTGGGCACAGACTGGCACAAATCAGAGTTAGGCTGGAGGAGGTGATGATGAGCTCTGCCTGGAGGACTCTGGAGAATCTTCACAGAGGAGAGATATCCTAGTTGTGTTTTGAAGAAAAGGAGGAACTTGCTGAGCTGATGAAGGAAGAAAGGGCACCCTGGGCAAGCAGAACACCTACAGAAAGAAAAGGAACTGCAGCACAAAATGTGAGAGTGGGTATGGGAGGAGCAGATTGGAGATTGGTAGTAGCTAGAGTGGAGCAGGCCTTGTCTGTGATGTGAAGAACCAGGAATTTATCTTGCAGATACTAGGAAGCCGAAGAGTAGTCATGTGATCAGATTCTTCTGGCTACAGTGAGAACAAGGGGGTACCAGTAAGGAAACTGTATTTTAAGGGTTGGTGCCTAGGGGCAGCACCTAAAATATATTTCCTTACTGATATCCCCTTGTTCTCACTGCCCTTAAGATACTTAGGGCAGTTATACAATATGGCCGTAATTCAACTGAAAAATAAGAAATTTGTATTTAGAAAGATATCTCTGTGGAGTGTGGATTTGAAAAGGCAAGGACCTGTGGCTAAAAGTTACTGTGTTAGTCCTGGAAATATGAAGATGAGAGCCAGACCATGGCAATAGCTGGGGGTAAAAGATATTTAGGAAATATAACGTTTTGATGTGAAAATAAAGGAGAGGGAAGTGTTAGGAATGATCCCAGGTTTCCGACCTGGGCTGCGGGGTGAAAGGCAGTACTATTAGTTGAAATAAATAATAGAGAAAGAAGAGTAAATTTGGGAAGAACACATTTTGTTTACGTTGAGTTTGTGCCTATGAGATACAGGTGGAGGTGCCTAGAGACAATTCTGTAGGAGTCTGAAGTTTAGGAGAGAGGGCAGAGTTGGAGAAAAAGTTTTTGGTTGTAAGCCTATCACAAATAGTTAAAATGGTGAGAATGAGGGAGATTGCTCAGGTCAGTGGTTCACAAATTTGAGTTTTTGTGTACAAAAATAAACTTGGAATAAATACCACACATTCGCACCCATATATGGAAGCTAAAAAAAAAATGAGTTCATGGAAGTAGAGAGCAGAATGTAGAATCATGGTCGTTAGAGTTTGGGAAGGGTATTGAGGAGAGGAGAACAGGGAGGGAGAACAAAGTTACAGCTATTAGGGAGGAATAAATTCAGTGCTCTATAGCATTGTAGGGTGAATATTGCTCATAATAACTTAGTGTATATTTTCAAAAAGTTAGAAGAGAGGATTTCGAATATTCAGAACACAAAGAAATGATAAATATTCAGCCAGGCATGGTGGCTCATGCCCGTAATCCCAGTACTTTGGGATACCAAGGCAGGTGGATCACTTGAGTCCAGGAGTTTGAGAACAGTCCGGTCAACATGGTGAAACCCTATCTCTACCAAAAATACAAAAATTAGCCAGGTATGGTGGTATGTACCTGTGGTTCCAGCTACTCAGGGAGCTGAGGCGGAAGGATCACTCGAGCCTAGGAAGCAGAAGCTGCAGTGAGCCCTGATTACACCACTGCACTCCAACCTGGGCAACAGAGCAAGATCCGGTCTTAAAAAAAAAAATAAAAAATAAAAAAAAAATCACGCCTGTAATCCCAGCACTTTGGGAGGCCGAGGTGGGCAGATCACCTGAGGTCGGGAGTTCGAGACAGCCTGATCAACATGGAAAAACCCCGTGTCTAGTAAAAATACAAAATTAGTCGGGTGTGGTGGTGCACGCCTGTAATCCCAGCTACTCGGGAGGCTGAGGCAGGGGAATCGCTTGAACCAGAGAGGTAGAGATTGCAGTGAGCTGAGATCGCGCCATTGTACTCCAGCCTGGGCAACAAGAGCCAAACTCCATCTCAAAAATAATAATAATAACTATATTATTCCAAGGTGATGGATATACCAGTTACCTTGATTTCATCATTACACATTGTGTACATATACGGAAACGTCAATCCGTATCCCATAGATATGTATCAGCTACTGTGTGTCCGCTAAAAATAAAAGGAAAAATAAATATGGAGACCTGGTTTAGACAGCTCATTTCCTGCGTCCCACCTATAGAGGTTCGGATTCAGGCCCAGGAACTTGCAGGGTGTTTTTTTCTTTTTATTTTATTAAAAAAAATTTTTTTTTTCTTTCTTTCTTTTAACAGTGAAATGAACATTATTTGTGCAAGTTTTGCGGGGTTTTCTTTTGGTTTTTTGTTTGTTTGTTTGTTTTTTGAGACAGGGTCTTGCTTCGTTGCCAGGTGCCAGGCTAGAGAGCAGTGGCGTGGTCTCAGCTCACTGCAACCTCCACCTCCCCAGTTCAAGCAATTCTACCGCCTCAGCCTCCCGAGTAGCTGGGACTGCAGGTGCGTGCCACCATGCCCGGCTAATTTTTGTATTTTTTAGTAGAGAGGGGGTTTCACCATGTTGGCCAGGATGGTTTCGATCTCTTGACCTCGTGATCCGCCCGCCTCGGCCTCCCAAAGTGCTGGGATTATAGGCATGGAACTTGCAGTTTTAATATTACCCAGGTGATTAGAATCCAGGTGATCCATGACCACACTTTAAGAAGAAAGTACAGGCATGTACTGCCTGATGACATTTCGGTCAATAGTGGACCACATTTATTACAGTGGTCCTATAAGATTATAATGCATGATTTTTACTGTGCCTTTTCTATATTTAGATGCTTTAGATACACAAATACTTGCCATCATGTTACAATTGCCTTTAGTATTCACTACAGTGACATGCTTTATGGGTTTGTAGCCTAGGAGCCATAGGCTATACCATCTAGCCTAGGTATGTAGAAGGCTAACCCTATTACATAGGTTTCTGTATTACACTCTATGTGGTGTTTGCTTACAACAAAATTGCCTAACAATGCATTTCTCAGAACATATCTTCATCATTAGGCGACACATGACTGTGTATATTAAGGAAAAAATATACAACCACCAAACCCCTGGAAAGCATCAACTACTGGGGGAGCAGTGGAAAGGGTGCTGGTGAAAGAAAATGAGAAGGAAAAGGCAGCTGAAAGAGGAAAAGTAGAAGAGAGAGATATCACAGAAGCCAAGAGTGAAGATTCCGGAAGAAGTAGTACCCTGCCGTGTCTCATACACACATACATGTCAGTTAATGCCTGAAGAATGCCCTTTGCCATTGAGACGTAGAGATTTTATCTGAATATAGGCCTTAGAAGCTAGACTGAGGCTTGGCATGTTTTTTCAGTAAAGGGGCTGGTAGTAGATATTTGTGACTTAGCAAGCCATGCAGTCCCTCTGCTGTTGTAGCACAAAAGCAGCCATAGACAACATGCAAACAAATGGAAGTGACTGCGTTCCAGTAAATTTTATCTAGGGACACTGAAAATTTAATTTGATGTAATATTCAGATGTCATGAGATATTATCATTTTAACATTTTTCCCTAACCATTAAAAAATATTTTTAAAATTCTCAACTCAAAAACAAGTAACAGGTCATATTTTGCTAATCCTTGAGCTAGGATTTAAAGCTTAACAGGGACAAGAGATGTAATGACTTTGGTTCAAAATAAGATAAAAAACTGAAATCTCTGAATAAATCTGAGAATGTGTAAGGTCTGTTCCTTCAGTGAGAGGATAACATGAAAAACTCTGCCTGTTGTTTCTACCTGATTTTCTAGAGATCGAGAAATTTAAAAATTCCCTATGAACAGTTAAAGCCCAAGTCCTGCATCATGCAAATTGATGCTACCTGTGTCTGATGTGGGGAGTACAAAACCAAAAAATGCAAAAACTGGTTTTGAGCCAGTAAGACCCATGGGGTGTCCTCCAGAAGCTATTGTAATATATTGGCTCTGTAGGAATACCTCTGCAACCCAGGGCAGAAGGGCTTCCACAGAAAGAGCAAATCCCCACTGAGGATGAATGCATGGTTTGTGAGGAAATGGTTTCTTTTGAAGGAAGGCTAACAGGAAAATTAGCAGTTCAAGAACTTAATGTGAAAGAGACTACAGAATGACTGTTTTAAATGATTAAAAAGTTTTAAGAGGAATAGAAATCAAGAGGAAAGACAGGGACACTGTGAATCAAAAGCGACTTGAGGCCGGGCACGGTGGTTCACGCCTATAATCCTCTGGGAGGCTGAGGCGGCAGATCACTTGAGCTCGGGAGTTCAAGACCAGCCTGGCAACATAGTGAGACTCTGTCTTTATAAGAAATAAAAGTAATTTTTAAATAATTTTTAAAAGTTATCTGAGCTTGACACGTATTGGTGGCTTTCAGAGCAGATTCAATGTGGATGGTCAGCCAGGAGACAGGCTGAGGAATGAATTAGAGATGAGGAAATGAAGATGGTAAGTTTGGCCATGAAGAGGGAGAAATAGGGCAGTAAATGGAGGAGACAGGGCAAAGCAAGTTGTGCGTGTGTGTGTGGAGTGAAGATTCCTCACCTCCTTCATCTCTATGGCATTCCTACATTTATTCTGCCTTTCATTCTCATTGCTCTTGGGCTTGTTTGGCTTTCTTTACCTTTCACTTAGACCAGAAGTCAACTACAACCCACAGACTAAACTGGCTCATTGCCTGTTTTTGTAAATGCTTGTTGGAACCTCATTCATTTACATTTTATCTATGGTCACTTTTCTGCTACAACAGCAGAATTCAGTATGACAAAAACCATATGACCCATGAAATATGAAACATTTGCTGTGTGGCCCTTGCAGAAAAAGTTTGCCAACCTCTGACTAGACTATTGTGATGGTTTTCACCAAAGATACCTATCTATAATCTAGGATAGTAGTAGCATTCAAACTCCTTTCTGATCTGGCTTCCCATGTAGCATCACTTGGCTTGTTACCATTGTTCTTAATTCCAGTTGAACTGCTGTTCACTTTGCCTTCTGTTCATGTTGTTCTTTCCTCCCTCTGGGTCTGTTCCGCTTTTCAATGTGGGTAATGATAGATATTATTATACTGAACTTAACTTTGTGCCAGGCACTGTGCTAGACATAATGAGTGTACCATCTCGTTTAACTTTCACAGCAATCTTGGGATTGGAATTATGATAACAAATAATAGTTAATAATAAAACCTACCTCAGAGCATTGTTAGGAGAATTTATTGAGGGAAGGTATATAAAATGCTGGGTACACAGTATATGTAAATACTGCCGTTTGTGTGTGTGTGTGTTTGTTTTTTTTTTTTTTAAGCAAAACATGCAAAATGGCACTATTAGTACCAGTCCCTCCTCTCAATTCTGTTCCTAGAGACAACCACTTTTTTTTTTCCTTTGTTTTTCTTTTGGAGACTGGGTCTCACTCTGTTGCCCAGGCTGGAGTGCAGTGGTACAGTCTCTGCTCACTGCAACCTCTACCTCCCAGGTTCAAGCGATTCTCCTGCCTCAGCCTTTCTAGTAGCTGTGACTACAGGCGCAAGTTACCACACCTGGCTGATTTTTGTATTTTTAGTAGAGATGGGGTTTCACCATATTGTTGGCCAGGCCGGTCTCAAACTCCTGACCTCAAGTGATCTTCCCACCTCGGCCTCCCAAAATGCTGGAATTACAGGTGTGAGCCATTGTGCCCAGCCTCCCATTTTATATTTATTTTTTAAGACAGGGTCTTACTCTGTCACCCAGGCTAGAGTACAGTGCACAGTCTCGGCTCACTGCAGCCTTGATCTCTCAAGGGGATGACGCTAAGATCCTCTTACCTCAGCCTCCCATGTGGCTGGGACCACAGGTGCATGCCACCATGTCTGGCTAATTTTTTTGATTTTTTTATAGAGACAAGGTCTCACTATGTTGCTGAAGCTGGTCTCAAGCTCCTAGACTCAAGCAGTCCTCCACCTTAGCCTCCCAAACTGTTGGTATTACAGGCGTGAGCCACCACACCCAGTTCTTTCCCCCCATTTTAGATGCCATTTTTTGACTTTTAAAGGATAAATGTTTAGCTCTCTTACCACCACCACCTCCCACCCACCTTCACAAGAAGCACATTCTCCCTCCTTCTGTCCTCCCAATATAGTTATAATGTTCTTTTTGGTTAAATCAGTGTTCGGTCCTTGTTAGATGATGTAAATGTTATTTACAACTAAGCTATGTGGTATACCAATTTACATTTCCTTTGTTTTGCAACTTTTGGTCCCCTACCTCAGCCCAATTATTTTTTTTTCTTTGCTTGTTTTCTGTATAACTGACTAATTCCTCCCTAAGTAAAATACATTCTTTAGGTATTTTATCAGTTTCCTTTTTTTTTTTTTAGCATCATCTCCCATCCTCCTGCTTCATAAATGATACGGTTATTCCCCAGATCTGTTGCATAGGTGTCGTCCAGAGACTTCCCTTTACATCTTTCCTATGGATCTCCTGTTCATAACTCCTCCTGAAAAAGGGGTACTTGGGAAGTAAATCTTTTGAAATCTTGTATATTTGGAAATATATATATGTTTATTTCATTCTTTATACTTAATGATAGTTTGGTTGGGAATTGAGTTCTGAGTTGGAAATCATTTTCCCTCAGAGTTTTAAGCATTACTCTCTTGTCTCTTCTGGAGTCCAGCGTTGCTATGGAAAGAGTGCCATGCTGACTCAAAGACCTTTGACCCTGAACTGGATCTTCTCCATAGTCCTTGGTGATCTTCTTTGTATCCCTGGTATTCTGAATTTCAGAATGTTGGTCTCTTCATTCATTTTGCTAGGCACTCAGTGGATCCTTTCCATCTGACAGTTCATGTTCTTCAGTGCTGGGAACATCAGTTATTTCTTTAATTTCCTCTTTCTGTATTCCCTGTTCTTTTCTGGAACATGTATTTGTGATTTGCGTTTGCATAATTTTCTATCTCTTTCTACCTATTTTCCCATTTTTAACATTTTTGTTCTACCTTCTGTATCTTCAGATTTATCTTATAACTTTTATTTTTTGTTTACACTATCATATTTTTTATTTCTTGTTTCATAAAGTAATATTTTCTGTCTCCTAAGCCAGTTAGTTACCACATATAGGCTCCAGACAACTAATGACAGCACAAAATAGGCTCTGATTAGATGCTGAAATGTTTGGTACTATGCTGGGGATAGAAGGGTCTAAGAAAACAACTATCTGCCAGAAAAACTTGGAACAATTTCATGGAAGGAGTAAGATAGGATCTGGACTTGGAATATAGGTAGGTAAGTTTGGATAGGTAAGGAATGGCAGTGTTGAATGGTGGAAAAAGTGTTGGCTTTGGAAGCAGGCCCAACTGAGTCACGGTGAAACCTCGTATAAGTCCAACCTCTCTGTGCCTTAGTTTCCTCATCTTTAATGGGACTGATAACATCTTCCCTCTAGAGTTGCTGTAAAGAAAGAAGTTGAATATGTAAAGTATCTGGCACATAGTTGGAATTTAATAAATATTCTTTATTTTGTAAATTCCTTGAGGCTGAAAAGCATCTTCTCTAGACACAATTCCTGGCATAGTGCTTGCTACATAGTGGAGTCTTACTATAGATAATGAATGAAAGTGAATGAGTAGATGAGTGAATGAGAAGGGAGAGCATTCTAGGCAGTGGGGAGTAATAGAATAGCAGCAGGGAAGTTGGAAATGAGCTGTTGTAGGGGAATGGACTTGTAAGACCTCAGCCTGACTCAAAAGATTTATGTATTGACAAATATTAATGGAAATATGTCTGGAAAGTCGGGCTAGTATTTTTCGGAGGAGTCAGGGCTGAGGACGGTTGATGGAGGAAGTGTTGGGCCAGTATTAAGGTGTTTTAATTAATGACCAAATCAGGGGTGGAGAATGTCTGGCTCAAGTTAGACCAACTGGTCTAATGCCATTTTTCAACATGAACATTTGGGCAAGGGATTTAAGTTCTCTGAACTTGTAGGAAAATGACTCCTGCTCTGTCTACAGCAGAAGGTAGTAATAATAAAGATCAAATACACCATTAGAAGTATGCGTGCTTTATAAGTTTGCGGCAGTTTCATAGACTCAGGAAGCAGGTACAGAGACAAACCCTATTTATGCATGTAACTATAAAACCAACGTGGCTTTAAGTTTTTGGAAGCAATAAACTAATACGCCATATTGTGGTATGCTTCACCAATAAAATTATTTCTTATCTTGCCCTTTGCTTTAATTTGGCTATATATAGTTTTCCTTTTTACTTATTTTAATGCCTAGACCTATACTGTCTAATCCAGTAGCTACTAGCTACATTAAATTAAAATTAAATAAAATTTAAAATTCAGTTTCTCAGTTCCATTAGCCACAGGTTAAGTGCTCAGTAGTTAGTAGCTGCCATATTAGACAGCACAGGTATAGAACATTTCCATCATACAGAAAGTTCTGTTGGAAAGCACTGGGTTAGACTATATAGAATTGCAGAGTGTGTGTGTGTGTGTGTGTGTGTGTGTGTGTGTGTGTGTGTGTGTGTATTTAAAATATGTATTTGTTTTATCCTCTGACTTTAATTTATAAACCAGATAAGTGAACCTTGTTTCTTTAAAAACATGGAGCTGTTTTTCACTTCAATGGGCCTCCTACATCAGTGGCTTTCTATTGAGAACAGGTTCTGCAACCTGACTGAAGTTAATGGATATTCTTAATTAATGATGTGATAGGATATAAAAGATTGAGTGATTCAAAGAGCTTCGAGTCTGATTGGAAATGTAACGTATTTTGCCGTTGTATTTTGCCAGATGTCATTTCAAGAATGTCTTGTCTTTTAAGATGCTAAAGAAAACCCTTATGGCGAGGATGACAATAAGAGCCCATTCCCCCTGCAGCCCAAAAACAAGCGCAGTTATGCCCAGAATGTGACTGTCTGGATCAAACCCAGTGGCCTGCAGGTAACATTACCATTTACGTTGCTTTCCACTGGGGGACAGGAGGCATTTGGGTAGGCGGGCAGGCAGACTTTTTATTTGATTTTCCTGTCCTTTGATACTTAGTAATTCATTTACTTCTAATGTTTGTCATTATTTCCAAAAGGGATTTGAGATGCCCTACAGCAAAACATGCATATAGCAAAATCATTTTTTACAAAATGTAGAGCATTAAGAATCCTAGAGAAAGAAGGAAGACAATTGTGCTGGGAACCCAAGGCAAAGTGATAATTTTACGTGAGCGTTTTGGCCCTGAACTTCCTGCTACCAAAGTCAAAAAAGAAACATGTTGGGTTATATAGTTGTTCTTGTCTGAAAAAAGGAAATTTGCCAGTTTGTCTAGAGAGACATATATTTTCCTGGCACTGAATTTTAGTGTGAAATTTTTCATATGGTGAGACATTGAATAACATAATGGGTATTGTCTTTAACAACAGTTTTGGAAGAGATGTAAAGGTCTTCATCTCGGTATTTCTTCCATCCCTTCAGTAGAACCCAAGCCAAAGCGTTACATTTCACAAAAACACTTTCATAGGAAGCTGTGATAACACCGTTATCAAGGAATGATGCTTTCAGACAAGGCATTCAGGAACACTTTTCCTTTCATCAACAAAAAGTCATTTATACCTGTTTTAAAAATTATTTATTGAAACTTTTTTCTCCTTTGAGCACCTTTATTTACGTTCATTCCTCCAGTAAGTTCAGCCTAAACCAAATGAGAAGAGACAAGCCACTTGGACAACAAAAGTAGCTTCTGTTGACTGCACAGTCTCTGAGCCCCCTTTCCACGGAGACTTAACCACACCCTGCCAAGGCACATGTCAGGGGCCTCTTTGTTGGAAAATTAGGGTCTTCTACTTTCCTGATGTCCCTGACCCCAGCCCTTCCTTGTCAGAGGGATATTAGAACCACTTTCACCACCAGTTATAGCTGTTTTTCTTAAATTATAAAAAAAATTTTTTGTTCGAATCTTGACTACTGTAGAAAATTTTTTTTTTGTTCCTGGGTTTATTTTTCTTATTTTGGTAAAATATACATAACATAAAATGTACCTTCAACCATTTCAAGGTACACAATTCAGTGCCATTTAGTACATTCACAATGTACCATCACCCCTATCTAGTTCCAGAACATTTTATTTTATTTTATTTTATTTATTTATTTTTTTGAAACGGAGTTTCACTCTTGTTACCCAGGCTGGAGTGCAGTGGCGCGATCTCGGCTCACCGCAACCTCCGCCTCCTGGGTTCAGGCAATTCTCCTGCCTCAGCCTCCTGAGTAGCTGGGATTACAGGCACGCGCCACCATGCCCAGCTAATTTTTTGTATTTTTAGTAGAGACGGGGTTTCACCATGTTGACCAGGATGGTCTATCTCTTGACCTCGTGATCCACCCGCCTCGGCCTCCCAAAGTGCTGGGATTACAAGCATGAGCCACCGCGCCCGGCCAATTCCAGAACATTTTAATCATTCCAAAAGGAAACCCTGTACCCATTAGAAAAGTCACTCCATATTCCTCCCTTCTTCCAGGCCCTGGCAACTACTAATTTGCTTTCTGTCTCTATGGACTTGCCTATTCTAGATATTTCATATAAACAGAATCATACAATTTGTGGCCTTTTGTGTTTGACTTCTTACACTTAGCATAATGTTTTCAAGGTTAATTAACGTTGTGGTATGTATCAGTACTTCGTTCCTTTTTATGGCTAATATTTCATGTCTATATGTATGTGTCACATTTTAATTATCCAGTTGATGGACATAAGGTTACCATTTAGCTATTATTGTGTGTAATGCTGTTATGAACATTCATGTATAAGTTTTTGTCTGAATATTTTTTTTGAATACTCTTGGGTATGTATATATTTAGTAATGGGAATGGGATTGCTGGGTCAGACAGCAATTCTGTTTAGCTTATTGAAGAATTGACCCACTCTTTCATAGCAGCTGCCCATTTTGCATTCCTGCCAACAGTGTATAAGTGTTCTAGTTTCCCCGTGTTCCTGCCCATACTAGCTTTCCATTCATTATTACTACTATCATGTAGCTATCACAGTGGGTGTGAAGTGGTCTGTCTTTGTGTTTTTTCATTTCTTTAATAACTAGTAATGTGTATCTTTTCCCGTGCTTATTGACCATTTGCGTATATTATTTGGAGACGTATATTATTTCAAGTTCTTTGTCCATTTTTTAATTGGGTTTGTCTTTTTGTTGTTGAGGTTTTTTTTTTTTTTAAATATATTCTGGATAGTAAGACCCTTAGCAGATACAAGATTTGCAAATATCTCCTCCCGTTTTGTGAGTTGTTTTTTCACTCTCTGTCCTTTGATAGGGTTTTTTGTTTTGATGAAGTCACATTTTGTTTTTTGCTTTTGTTGTTTGTGGTTTTTGCTGTCTTAACTAAGAGATCATTGCCAAATCCAAAGTCATGAAGATTTATCCCGTTTCCTTTTTCTTCTCCCCTGCCCCCCCACTTGAGAAATGCATCTCATTATGTTGCGCAGGTTGGTCTCAAACTTCTGGCCTCAAGCAATCCTTCTGAGGGATTACAGGGGCACATCACTGCACCTGGTTCCTGTTTTCTTCTGAGTTTCATAGTTTTAGCTCTTACCTGTAGGTCTCTAATCCTTTTTGAGTTAATTTTTTGTATATGGTATGATGTAAGGGTCCAAATTTGTTCTTTTGCATGTGGATATCCAGCTGTCTCAGCACCAAATGTTGAAAAGACTGTTTTTTCCCCGTTGAATGGTCTTTGCAAAAAAGCCCCTGGCAATAGTTGTATGGGTTTACTGGGTGCCGTTTTGTGAGGCAAGTTCATTTCTGTGAGGGGATTTCTTTTATTGTCAAGACTTTTGAAGGAGGGAGTGCTTTACTAATGTCGACCTGACATTAACTCAAAAGGGATCCTCATCTTGACATTGTAGCTCTGCTCTCATTTTCATTTCTTTAGACATTCAGATGCTTTTAAAAATATTATTTGAGGCCGGACGCGGTGGCTCACGCCTGTAATCCCAGCACTTTGGGAGGCCGAGGCGGGTGGATCACGAGGTCAAGAGATCGAGACCATCGTGGTCAACATGGTGAAACCCCGTCTCTACTAAAAATACAGAAGATCAGCTGGGCATGGTGGTGCATGCCTGTAATCCCAGCTACTCAGGAGGCTGAGGCAGGAGAATTGCCTGAACCCAGGAGGCGGAGGTTGTGGTGAGCCGAGACTGCGCCATTGCACTCCAGCCTGGGTAACAAGAGCGAAACTCCGTCTCCAAAAAATATATATATATATTATTTGCCCTTTTTTACCACAGAATTCTAATGTTGGATTTTTTTTTACCTTTAATAGACAGATGTACAGAAGATTTTGAGAAATGCAAGGAAACTACCCGAAAAAACACAGACATTCTATAAGGTGAGAGTGTCAGAATATAGTGGAAGAAGATGTGCCCAAAATATATAGTTTGACGGTAGTAAAACTGTAGGATGGCAGTGTGAATATGGACAGGCATTAGAGATGTATGACTTGCGCCTCAATTTTTTCAAATAAACTCAGTATGGCTGGGCACAGTGGCTCACACCTGTAATCCCAGCACTTTGGGAGGCTGAGGCGGGTGGATCACGAGGTCAAGAGATCCAGACCAGCCTGGCCAACATGGTGAAACTCCGTCTCTACTAAAAAATACAAAAATTAGCTGGGTGTGGTGGCAGGCGCCTGTAGTACCAGCTACTTAGGAGGCTGAGGCAGGAGAATTGCTTGAACCCAGGAGGCGGAAGTTGCAGTGAGCCGAGATCACACCATTGCAGTCCAGCCTGGCGCCCAGCAACAGAGCAATACTCTGTCTCAAAAAATAAATAAATAAATAAAAATAAACTCAGTATAAGTGATGGGTCTGTTCCTTCCCTAAAATCCAAGAATTGTAAGGGTTTAAATGGCCTCATTCTGTATAGGAGGACGGTTTTTCTGTTGGGGCTGCTGTGAATGAATGGCTGAAGGAAGCAGCTGAGAGGACCTGTGGGTCATAATCCTGAAGTTTCCTTATCACTCCTAGATGGGTATGCAGGCCAACCCAGGCAACCAATGTATATGGCTTCCCGGATGGGAAATTACCCAGAACATTGTTTTTTTTTTTTTTTTTTTTTTTTAGATGGAATCTCATTCTGTCGCCCAGGCTAGAGTGTAGTGGCGTGATCTCGGATCACTGCAACCTCCACCTCACGGGTTCAAGTGATCCACCTGCCTCAGCCTCCTGAGTAGCTGGTACTATAGGCACATGCCACCACACACAGCTAAATTTTGTATTTTTAGTAGAAATGGGGTTTCGCTATGTTGGCTAAGTTGGTCTCAAGGTGATCCACCCGCCTCAGCATCCCAAAGTGCTGGAATTACAAGCGTGAGCCACCCTGCCTGGCCAGTCCAGAACATTCTTATTGCGCCAGAGAATCTGCTTCTAGGAATGACATCTAAAATTAGACATTTATGAACTGCAGAGGAGATGGCCCTCCAGAATCATGCGTAGCTAATCCAGAACCATTGGTGAAGAAACTATTAAGTTACAGGGTAGAGTGGGGAACATTTAGGTTTGCTCCTTGCTCCTATTGTTTTGGTGTTTGGCTGGAATTAAGTGCAGCGTAAAGTATGCCATTTGTGTCCTAGCTTTCTAATTCTAAAATATGGAACACACAGCCATCCTCAGGCTAGCATGTGACCAGAGAGGATACGTGTGCTACTTTGTCTGGGTGTTTTCTCATTACCTTTATGTCACTGTTGTCTTCAAACCTAATTATGTAGTCAGCTGGTGAAATAAAACAGCTTTCATCAGAGTCCAGCCGAAGAGCTTCTCAGCTAGCCAGGCGCCTCCTGACTGAAGCCCGTAATCCACAGTCCATCCTTCCTGCAGAGCGTCCTACAGCCATCAGCTGTTTACACGTGATGACACACTTGTTTGGCCTTCTTCTGAACTTTCCACTTTTTTTTAACAGATGATAGTATAAAGATGGTCAGAGAGCCCATTTCTCTTTTCTGGTTTTATATTACGTCTACATATTAGAGCTGCAAAGGGCCCAGGGAAACTGACTGCGTCAGCCCCTGCAGTGGGCAAGGAAAGGGTTATTCTGATTTCATTTGATTTTATATATATATTTTTGATGTGGAGTCTTGCTCTGTTGCCAGGCTGGAGTGCAGTGATGCAATCTCAGCTCTCTGCAACCTCTGACTCCCGGGTTCAAGCGATTCTCCTGCCTTAGCCTTGCAAGTAGCTGGGTTTACAGGCATGTGCCACCACGCCCAGCTAATTTTTCTATTTTTAGTAGAGATGGGGTTTCATCATGTTGGCCAGGATGGTCTCGATCTCTTGATCTCATGATCCACCCGACTCGGTCTCCAAAAGTGCTGGGATTACAGATGTGAGCCACTGTGCCTTGCCCATTCTCATTTTATAAATGAGGACTTTGAGACCCAGAGAAGCTACACAACTTGCCCAGATCACTCCACTAAGGGGTTGTTGGGGCACTTCATATTTCTCTGCTTCTATCACTAACCAACCTTCCTTTTTGCTGGTCTTTCCACTGCCTCCTCTGAGCCTGTTTATTGTCTTAGTCTGAGGCCCTGCCACAGTGATATCAGAGGGTTAAGGGCAAGTCTTTTCCATACCTAAATAATTGGGGAAAAGTACTCCCCCTTAAAGTTAGGAGTAACGAAATGATGGATACAAAGTGCTGACCACCACGTGTGGCGTAAATGCTCATTAACTGTGATGATTACTTGTGTTTAGTCAGCTCACTGTCTTCTTTAGCCATCTTCTGGTCACCTGTAGAGGAACCACTTCCTAGTTATACCATCACATTCTTGTTACTGGCATCCCTGAATAAACATGTTCTCATATAAAATTGCTCCTAAAAACAAAAAAATAACAAAAAATAAAAGAAAAATTGTTCCCTAAAGTTTAGTCAAGGAGAACTTATTCTCAGCTGAGCACTTAGAAAATATGTGTTGAGAACACATTTCAGGAGCATTGATGATTTTCTGTCTTGTCTCAGGAGCTGAACCGTTTACGAAAGGCCGCTCTAGCCTTTGGTTTCTTGGACCTGCTGAAAGGGGTGGCTGACATGCTGGAAAGGGAATGCACACTGCTGCCCGAAACAGCCCACCCTGATGCTGCATTCCAGCTGACCCACGCGGCCCAGCAGCTCAAGCTGGCCAGTACCGGCACCTGTGAGTATGCCGCTTATGACCAGAACATCACACCTTTGCATACAGACTTCTCTGGGAGCAGCACTGAAAGAATGTGAAACTGACTTTTGGAGCGCTCCTTTTTTCATTTCAACTGAAAATGATTTAGAGTAAAAACCTTTCCAGTATGTTCACCTCTGGGATAGCCACCCAAAGACCTTCCTGAGGCTGCCTCAGAATGACTCCAGTAGCGTGAGAAGGATGTGAAGGTGGTTGGCTGGTCGGGCTTTAACTTCCTGGGACTCACAATTTTTAAGCTTGGAAGATAACTGCTGTTCCCATGATGGGCACATTTCCTGAGAAGCTTGAATGGCTGATGAGCACAGAGTACCCCTGCCTTCCTCAGGAAACCGGCAGGAACTCTCTGGCTTTCCGAAAGCTTCGCCTGTTCTCTCCAGTTTCTATCTCAACTGTTAAGGGCGTTCATGGAATGAGCACCTCAGACTGTCTGGAGGTTGCCGAGTACACACCACCACTTTCAGAACTTTCCGCAAAACTTGGGCAAAATGTGGTGGTAATTCTTAGAGGCTTCTGATATCTCTTGAGATTCTCACTTTTAAAGGACAACCATTAATGTGTAAAATGAGTCCTGTTTCTTCAAGGTTTTTGTTTTTTTTTTTTAAATGAAAATATTTGATTTTCTATAAAATGGTTTCACTATGAAACGAAGGGTCCTTTATCTTTTGGTCTGTCCTATTACTTGAATATAATTTCAACTTCCTAAGTGGCATAGATTCTTAAATAATGAGGTTTCCTTATTTCTGACACTGATTGATTAGGCCTCATTGCCCAAGCAAGGTTCTGGTTAGATAATCCTGACAGATCACTGATTCCAAAGTTAGTTATGGTTCCCATTTATCAGCTAGCTTTATGACCTTGGGCAACTACCTGAGGCTTTATCTGCATCATCACTGTTTTTCAGCTGCACCACCTTCCGTGTAAATCTCATGTTTCAACCAGAGCAACTGTTTTTGGTTTAACATGCTGATTGCTACATAATATTTTGCCTGAACACAGGACTTTTTACGAACAGAAAAGCATTAGACTAAATTATCTTTAAGCACAGTTATTAGAATTTGATTGTAAATGTTTTAATGGAAATACACAATTGTTCACTCTCTTAAACAGCAATAAAGGGGTTTGTAACAATCACTAAGAATACAGAATTCTGCCACAAGGATGCAGCATAATCTACTGCAAAGCTGATCTGCCCAATTACACATAGCTGCAAGAATACCAGAAATCAACACAAACAAGTATTGACAGGTGTTACAGACATGCAAAATATCCTTCAATGCAACAGTTTTTTAAGAAATCAGCCAGCCTACGTTAACAGATGTTTTAGTTAAAGTTTCCATCTTGGGCTCAGTGACATAGTATTAACTCACTGAGACTCCTTTCCCCCAGGAATGTTGAGAATGGCAGAACTGAAAGAGTTATCACTCCTTAAATTCTTTTATGCAAGTGTTACTCCAATACTTCTCTTACTTGGTTTACTTGGAATGTATGAGGGGAAACTGATGTTTTTTACAGTGGCCAACCGTATGTCTAAATTTTCAGTTCTCCTTTTTATGAGTTTCCTGCCAGAAATCCTTGTTAAAGGATCAGCAGGTGTTCACCCCAAAGTTCTCGCTGTTTTCAGTGTCCTACTGCAGATGGGTTTAAAAAGCCAGCTGAACAGCAGCAGAATGAAAAGTGTTTTTGAGGTCTATTCAAAAATGTACAGTCCTACCACTCACTTGAACAGGTACACAAGTAAATGGACTCAGCCAGTGCAGGAGATGGAAGGCTGCCATTTTGTATGTCTGTGAACAGCTTAAGACAGTTTGGAGGTGTGTTTGGCCTAATGTTTCTAGTTTGTCAAAGGCTGTAAGCTGTGTCACTGCCACTTTTGATCTATATATTTGTGCTCCCTTTGCATCCCTGCTACCATTTGGACCTCGTGTGTGTGTGTGTGTGGTTTGGTTTTGTTGAGATAGGGTCTTGCACTGTCACCCCAGCTGCAGTGCAGTGGCACAATCTTGGCTCACTGCAGCCTTGACCTCCTGGGCTCAGGATCTTCCCATCTCAGCCTCCTGAATAGCTGGGACTACAAGTGTGTGCCACCACAGCCGGCTAATTTTTTTATTTTTTGTAGAGATAGGGGTCTCACTATGTTGCCCAGGCTGGTCTTGAACTCCTGGCTTCAACTGATGCTCCCACCTTGGTGTCCCAAAGTACTGGGATTACAGGTGTGAGCCACATTCCTGGCTGAATTTGGAACTTGTAATCTCATTGTCTTATAAAAAACGGTTCATTTTTCTTCAGTGTTGAAAATAGTTGATTTACTTAAAAATGGCATGATCATGATGTTCCAAGATTCTGATTAGTTTCTTTCAAAGCATTCTGTGCCTCTTCAATGCCCACACTGCTGAATACTATAGTAACAGATGTTAGGCCAAAGGGTGTCAGATGTGAAACAAACATGTTCTCTAGCCCCACTCTTAGAAATGTTTTATCAGTGACTCAGTCTACTTGATGTTCAAAAAGTCAGTGCCATCCCACTAAACCAGGAACCCCTTAGGTATGAATAATTACAACCCGCCTGAGTCACTTTAACAGCCTTCTATAGAGTGACAGAGTCTTGCTTTTCTTCACAAGTCATAGCTGAAAAAAACAAATCTCAACTATAAGAACTGTCAACACATTGTAGGGATAAAGCACTTTTTGAAAAAAAATCTGGCATGTATTACACAGACTGAACATGAGCTAGCGTTGGGGTGGGCTGAGCCTTTTGCTGTCATTAACTGAATACACAAGAATGAACCTCATCAGATACCAGGAATCCATGTCATGCAAGCACTACAATAAGATAACAATACATTCAGGAATGCTACTAGGGAAAAGGAAGATAGCCTCACTGAGGATTTCATCATTTAACATTAAAAAAACTTTTACATTGGTACAACAAGGTAAAACTCTAAGAATCAGATTAGGCTCAAACTGGCAAGAAGCCATCTAAATCTTTCTTTTTAGGTGACCTTTTTCTTTTTTTGTCCATAGCGCCGTCTGCGCTGTTTATAAAGGTGACGAAAATTTATGTATAACCCTGAAAAAGAGAAGAGGCCGATTAGAAATTAGAGTCTTTGTCTATTTATAACCAGAAGCTCTTGTGGGAGGGGCAGTATCTAGCTGTCATGTCCCACAGCAAAAAGCTACTGCAGCAGCTCAGGAAGGAGTACAACTTATAACAAATTAACAACGCAATACACACAACCCAGCTTTTCCCCAGTGGGTTTGTTTGTTTGTTTTTTTGTGACAGAGCCTCACTCTGTCACCCAGCCTGGAGTGCAGGGGCACGATCTGAGCTCACTGCAACCTCTGCCTCCCAGGTTCAAGCGATCCTCCACAACCACGCCCAGCTAATTTTTTCTATTTTTAGTAGAGATGGGGGTTTCACCATGTTGGCCAGGCTGGTCTTGAACTCCTGACCTTGTGATCGCCCACCTTGGCCTCCTAAAGTGCTGGGATTGCAGGCATGAGCCACCGCACCCAGCCAAGAAATAGCTTATGGTATATTCCCAATCACCAAGAGCACTTAAAGAGCATAATTTAACTGCTGGAGATTTAGAAAAGAAATACTTCCTTACCATAGCATATTCCTCTAGTGGGTCTCTCTTTGCACAGTAATCATTCTCTAATTCTATCCTACCCTTCTGGAAAAAAATAATTCTCATATGGACTTTTAATTTCTGAATGATTTAATTCTACTCTCTAAGAAGTGACAAGAAAACATCTGTGTTACAGTTCAATACTTACCTAAAAATATCATTATAAGATAAATCTGAAGAAAAAAGGAAAATCTAACTTTGATTTTCACTGGATATGGCAATGTGAAACTGAATCGTCCCGTCTCATTGAATATTGGAATGGACTGAATCACTGAGACAGCTGAAAACAGAAACAAGAACTTGTTAGAAGCAAATTAAACAGTCCTATCTAATGACAGGACCTTCCAGCCCCTAGTATTCTAAAGTTTCAGTTCTGGGTTTGCTGGAAAGGCTTCCTCCTCCCTTTGTACAGAAAGTTCATGCCTCTTCTTTTTCTCCCCTAGTTTTCTAAGAGATCAGCCTCCAGCCTGTCAACAGAGAGACAGATGAGGAAGTCATGGCAGTGGGCTTCTTCTATTCTATAAAATGGAAAGAAAAATCCCTAGCTGACTTACGAGACGTTTGTCAGAATAAAATAAAGTTGTCAGTAAGAACTCCCTTTGGAATACTAAAAGTATCATATAAATGGGAAGCAGGCAGGATGTGACCACCTGGCTTACCAATGTTACAAAATGAGCTACTTTTCTGGAACAGTCTGAAAACCAGGAGTATTATGGAAGGAAGCCCATAGAAAGAAATCCCTGAAAAGTCCAATACTTCCATTTATCAGACTAAGGCTGGCAGAGCGGGGGAAGAAGGGACTGGTCTCTCAGCCTCTGGGCACCCCCTGGAGCTAAGCTACAAAAGCTAAGAGTCCCTGAGAGTACCTTCTGCCAAACATCCCAGTGGATATATGGGAATCCACACAGTGTAACGAAGCCATGTGACCACCTTCCAATCCATGTCAACGCACGTTAGCATGTAGAAGGGGTACCTATTGAAAATAAATGATTCAAAAAAAAAAGAAATGATTCTAACGTGAAAACCCACTTCAGGTTCTGAATGCAACCTTAGAATGTCATTTAAATAGAAGAATTATATTTCTCAGCCACATACGGCTTCTTCAGAACAGAACTGTAATGCTGGCTATCCACCTATAAACTCCCGTCATGCTGCACCCTGAATTTTCAAAGGATGTGAACTCTCTTTAACAGCAGACTAAGTTTAGGTCTTAAAGGAAGCTTCAGTACATGGACTGGATACTCAGATGTTTTTTGGCTTTATTCTGAGTTCTCATCTACATTCCCACTGGGTAAGGATATTCGGTACTTTATTTCTGGATAAATGAGTTATTACCAAAATTAAAGTATATAAAAGACCTCTAATCTAGAATCAGACATACTCTCTTTTAAAAGACATCCCATAGGAAAATAAATATTTCTTCTCAAACAGTAAACATTAACATTAAAGACCCATAATCTGATCCTTTTGTAGCTCCTAAGCATGGTAATTGGATTTTTACGCTCATGTGTCGGATGTGCTTCCCTCAAACCTTGTTACATCAGCACATTACTTGTCTGATTTTAAAAGCATAATCTGTTTTACCTTTGTATTAAGGTATTAGAGGGTACACTGGGTGCCGTGGGACATAGACCATGGTTAAGACACAATTTAAGGCTGCTATGGCCTGTTGCACCTCTCAACTAGCAACTTTGTCGAAATACCACCAAACCTGGAGCTAGGAGTTCGTTTGCAAAATCCTTGCTCCAGCTGACTGAAAGAGAAGAAATATGGAGTATGTGTGGTCTGGTAAAGAGGAATACATCTATCTACTTTAACTGGATCCATTTCTTAAAAGATACTTATTCTGCTAACAACTGAGAATGGGAAAATTAGGTCAGAGGCCATTTCAAACTTCATTAGTCTTGTACTATAAGAGTCATTTCTGGCCGGGCGCGGTGGCTCAAGCCTGTAATCCCAGCACTGTGGGAGGCCGAGGCGGGTGGATCACGAGGTCAAGAGATCAAGACCATCCTGGTCAACATGGTGAAACCCCGTCTCTACTAAAAATACAAAAAAATTAACTGGGCATGGTGGCGCATGCCTGTAATCCCGGCGACTCAGGAGGCTGGGGCAGGAGAATTGCCTGAACCCGGGAGGCGGAGGTTGCGGTGAGCCGAGATTGCGCCATTGCACTCCAGCCTGGGCAACAAGAGCGAAACTCCGTCTCAAAAAAAAAAAAAAAAAAAAAAAAAGAGTCATTTCTATCACCGCTTGTACAAAGTTAGTCTCAAACTAGATCTGTCCAACCTGGATTGCTACTTCAACCTCATGTTTCTTCAGCCCTTTCAAGAATTTTTCCATGTGGACAGTTCCTCTCTTTCCAAGACTGCAAGATCCTGAAGTCATGGTAAGATGAGTCTTCCCTTTCGCTGGTTCTCCCCTTCTCCTCCCTAATATCCAATCTGGTATTATGATCCAATGATGGCTTTAAAAAAATCTGTCAGCTGGACATGGTGGCTCACACATATAATCCCAGTACTTTGGAAGATCAAGGTGGGTGGATCACGAGGTCAGGAGTTTAAGACCAGCCTGGCCAACATGGTGAAACCCCACATCTACTAAAAAGGCAAAAATTAGCTGGGCATGGTGGTGCACACCTGTGATCCCAGCTACTTGGGAGGCTGAGGCAGGGAGAATTGCTTGAACCCAAGAGGCAGAGGTTGCAGTGAGCCGAGATCACTCCAGCCTGGGCAACAGAGCGAGACTGTGTCTCAAAAAAAAAAAAAAAAAAAAAAAAAAAAGTGCCTCAACTTCTTTGCAGAGCACATAGGTGCAACCAGAACTCTCCACATATGTAATTTTAGTCCCAAACCAAATGAGACTTCGGCTAAGACAGCAACTCCCTCAAGAACAGAGCTGCTGCAAAGAGGGAGATGCATTCAAGCACTGCCCTGGCATTTCTACCCACCTGAAAATTTCACCTATGCTCCACAGATAAAACACAAAGAAAACCACAGCTTTGTTTTGCATTTCTTCCATAGTGCCAATGACGATAAACAAAATAAAATTTCTTCCAAGAAGCTATTAGAAAGACCCAGAAGAGAGAAAAAAGTTAATAAAATATATGTAAAGGTATATAAATGTGTCATGTAAAACCTAACACCACTAAATGCAAGGCAAATAAAAAAGATTGTGCTCCACCAGTTTAAGCCTACTCCAGTTTTGGAACAAGTAAAGGGCCCAAACCCGTCTTTGTGACTAGATAGGTACGGTATTTTGTGTGTGTAAATATATTATAAATCATTTATTTAAAATATGCACACATGTTCAAACACAGTCTAAAGAATACTGCCAAACAAACATTTGGGTTTACATAACCCATGTTAAGCAATAGAGCACTGCTAGTGTGGGACCCCTGTAAGTAAAATCACTGCATATTTTTCTTTTCTTTTTTTGAGACAGGGTCTCACTTTCTTGCCCAGGCTGTAATGCAGTGGCACAATCATGGTTCACTGCAGCCTTGAACTTCTGGGCTCAAGCAATCCTCCCACTTCAGCCTCTCGAGTAGACTGAATCCCAAAGTGCTGGGATCACAGGTATGTGCTACCACACTGGCTAATTTACTTTTTTTTATAGAGACAGGGTCTCACTGTGTTGGCCAGGCTGGTCTCAAACTCTTGTTGGGCTCAAGTGATCCTCTCGCCTCAGCCTCCCAGAGTGCTGGGATTATAGGCATGAGCCACTGGACCCAGCCCATGGCTTTTCTTTATAGGTTACTGCTTATGTATGTATTCCTGAACAGTAGATTGTTTCATTTTGCCTGCTTTAAAACTTTTGGAAATCATTCTATATGTATTCTTCTGTGACTTGCTTCTTACTCAGGGTTATGGTCCAGAGACTCATTTATGTTGATGCACATGGCTAGAGTCCACTCACTTTCACCGTGGCAAGACATTTCAATATACGATAGACATTCTATTCTTCATAGATATCTGGGTTGTCTGTTTCTGGGTTTTATTCTATTCCAATGGTCTATGTGACTATCTTTGTACCATATAATGTGGTATTAGCTATTAAATCCTTATACTGTCTTGATTTCTCATAGGGTAAGTCCCTAACTTGAGCTCTTCTTTAGAGAATATTCCTGGACCTCTTTTTTCCCCGTATTTAGAAAACTGTGGTAAAATACACATAACAGCCAGGCACAGTGGCTCACGCCTGTAACCCCAGGATTTTGGGAGGCCATGGTGAGCGGATCGCTTGAGGTCAGGCATTCAAGACCAGCCTGGCCAACATGGCAAAACTCCATTTCTACTAAAAATACAAAAATTAGCTAGACATAATGGCAGGTGCCTGTAGTCCTACCTATTCAGGAGGCTGAGGCAGGAAAATCACTTGAATGCAGAAGGTGGAGGTTGCAGTGAACTGAGACTGCACCCCTGCACTACAGCCTTAGTGACAGAGCGAAACTCTGTCTCCAAAAAAGAAAAAGAAATACACATAACATAAAATTTACCATCTTAATCATTTTTAACTGTTGAGTGGTAACAAATACATTCATAATGCTGCACAACCATAATCACCATCCATCTCCACAGCTCTCTTCATCTTGTAAAATAGAAACCATGACCCATTAAATAATAACTCCCTGTTTAGCCAGCCCCTGTGAAACACCATTCTGCTTTCTGTCTCTAGTTTTGACTATTTTAAGTACCTCATGTAAGCAGAATCATCCAGTATTTGACTTTCTGTGACTGGCTTATTTCACTTGGCATAGTTTCCTTAAGGTTCATCCATATTGTAGCATACATCAGAATTCCCTTCATCTAGAGAGGGACACTTGGGTTGCCTGCACATTTAACTATTGAAAATGATGCTCCTATCCTGGCTGGTCCTCTGTTTTTTCAAAAAACTTCAGAATTTTCTCACATTCCAAAATTTTTTAGACTATGATCAGAATTGTATTTAATCTACAGGTAGATATGAGAACTAACAATATTATAGTATCGCGTCTTATAATTCAAGAAAATTATGTCTATATACTTACTTTTTGTGCTCTCGATTCCTTCCTGTATCTCAAACAGTTCACTTATTTTCTCTTTAGCTGTATCTAATCTACTACACAAACTATCCATTAAATTTTTATTTATTTATTTAGTTTTAGAAACAGGGGTCTTGCCCTATTGCCCAGGTTGGAGGGCAGTGACACGATCACAGCTCACTGCAACACCAAACTCCTGCACTCAAGGAATCCTTCTGTCTCCGCCTCCCAAGTAGTGTGAATACAGGTGCACACCACCACGTCTGGCTTTGATTTTTATTTTTTTAAGGGTCTTACTGTGCTGTCCAGGCTGGTCTCAAACTGCTGGCCTCAAGCAATCCTCCTGCCTCACCTTCCCAAAGTGTGGGGATTACAGGCATAAGCCACCAAGCCTGGATGTAAACTTTAAAGTTGAGTTACTGTACTTTTCATTAATAGAAGTTTTTAAGAAGTACTGCCTTCATCTACAAAAAGTGGGAGGAGACCAAGTACATTTCTGACTAAGGAGACTGAAGGTAGGTTTTTCTGCTCCTGCCTAAGAATCAAATTTCCCTAGTCTTAAAGCTCTTTATAACTTTGTAATTTCATGAGGATATTATAAAAAATGAAATACACCTGAAACAGTAAAAGTCTACTTTGGTAAATATCCCTGGGGTTCTAAGTGTTCTTTCTTGTTCAGGTAAAATAATACTATTCCTGTACAAATAGGTGTTTTTACTAATTGAGTCTTCTCAGCAAAATGTAACATACAGAAATGGCTATGTCCCCATTCAAATCTCAACTTGAATTGTATCTCCTGGAATTCCCACATGTTTGGGAGGGACCCAGGGGGAAGTAACTGAACCATGAGGGCCAGTCTTTCCCATTCTGTTCTCATGGTAGTGAATAAGTCTCATGAGATCTGACGGGTTTATCAGGGGTTTCTGCTTTTGCTTCTACCTCATTGTCGCTTGCCACCACCATGTAAGAAGTGCCTTTCACCCTGCGCCATGACTGTGAGACCTTCCCCAGCCACGTGGAACTGTAAATCCAATTAAACCTCTTTCTTTTGTAAATTGCCCAGTCTTGGGTATGTCTTTATGAGCAGCATGAAAACAGACTAATACACACACCTACTAGACAAATAATGGGACCTTCCATTACCCACCCTTCAGCTCAGCTATTCAATACCTGGATCAGAGAAGGCAGTAGTGGTGATGAAGTAACTCCAATTGCTGCATTGATAGTTTCCACAACTGCCAGCATCTGGCAGAAATACATCATGTCAGCCACAGTATGGAATGTGTCATAAAAGGACTCTATGGGCACAAATAACATGAAGGGTGAATCAGATGGTAAATTCCAACAGAATTATTTCTCAGATTAGATCACTCCTTTCATGAAAGTAACTGTAGGAAAGGAGTAACAAACATCCAGTCAGATTCGAGTTTCTCACTTAACTAAGCAGGAAGAGTGCAGGCCACCGGGGTCAGGAATAGTAAATTCTACCGGTTACCACAACATTCGCACGTAAACCTTACGTGCCTTTCTCATTTTTTT